ATTCTCAGACCAGTTAGTACATATTTGTTAGTAACAATTTTATAAGCTAAGTTAGTAGAAACAAGAAAAACAATTACAATATATTAAATTAAATTACAATATTACATTATTATTATAAATACATTATTATATGTTCACGTGCGACTTGGTGAACCTACGGAAAACAGCAGAGTCCAGTCCAGAGCAAAAAAAATGGCGGTCGTTGTAAGTTCATATATTCGCATCGTAATTTTTATTAAAGACACCGTTAATCGCAATAATGTCGTACCGTCATAAATGAGGTGACAAAAGACTATCAGCCATTCTCAGCATGCCATCATTAGAATCATCTTTGTAGTGACGTCATCGGTCCCCAGTAGTGCCACTGTACTGCAGCTTGGAATTTCTTTAACAATAGCGATGACGCATCGCGACGTCGGCGGCGGCGGTGCAGCAGGAAAACGGCGTTTATTTATGCTGCCATAGTGACTGAGCACGCTGCTATCACAGTACCACAACCTTTTCCATTATTTCAAACCTCCTTTATAAGTTATATAATAGTCTGTAAATATAGTTATAAATTATAACTATATTTACAGACTATTATATAACGATACTGATCGAAATTCCCATACCTGCATGAGAGTCGACGTGCGTTTGTTTATACTTGTTCTGAGAGAAGTAGTTATGTGCTCGGACACGATTGCTGAACATAGCTGTAAAATTTAGAAATATTCTCGTGAAAATGCGGTACTGCACTGAAATTTGCACGGTAGGGTAATGTAGGTAGTATCCCGCTGGACAAGAACCAGCTACCTCGCCATACGGTCGCTGAAATCCAATCGGATCGAAGGAATCTTTGTGTTCGATCTTTGTATTAAAACCTACTAACGTTATGTTATATATGAATGGCTACTCGATATATGTATGTACAAACAGAGGGAGAAAGCTGCCAGCATCATGAGCACCTTGCCGCGGGGACCCAATTTTATTCATATATTTAATCCTAGTTTTACTTTCTAGTATTTAAGCTTTTATTATACCTTACCTGTATATTATGAAAATAAAATAAATACTATTCATCATATTTAAATATACGAACAGAGGTATAAAATTTATGTACAGATATAATATAGTATTGTTTCTTTGTCTGTCGCTAGTTGTATATGAGTTTATTCAGTAATAATTTTTGAACCGTGCTACTTGTTATACCGTAACTGGACGAAGTGTAATTTTCATGCGTTTCCCGGAATTTTGTCGGGGTTGTGCTACCACTGCATTTATTTCATACTCGCTCTCTCAAATTCACGTTTGGTAGTTTATTTTTTTAATTGCGTTCATTCAAAGGACCTTTATATCAGTACGATTGCAGGATGTACCTCTTGCATTTATTGTCTCATTTTTCTTTAACATATTAGAAATAGCAGTGATAGCGCAGTAGAGAGAACGGTTAACATTTATACCAGGGTTCAATTCCTGCTTAGGAATACACCAACAATTGACAACCTGTGGTTGTTTTTTGAATAATATGCTGTAAAGTTCCTAATTATGACTTGACGCTGAATGAATACGTGTGGTTTACCATGTTGAAGAAGGTTCTCGAAACTATACGAAAACCTCTCTAAGTCCCCAACTCGCATTCGTGTCTATTCAAATACATAAATTCTTATTTATTATATAAAGGCTGAAAAGTTATTTTTGGATCGTGGAGTGGTGACGTCACCAGTTACTATCAATGCTCGTACTGTCGGTACGCGTGTTTTTTGAAATTCCGCAACAAGGAGAGGGTTGTTTTGTCAATTACCCCAAAAATGATTTAGATCTCAACATGCGTACAGCAAAGAACGAAAAATCTTCGTCGTAATCCTGGACGATATTTTTGTATATTTTTAAACATCAGCAGGAACAGGTGTGTTTATGATGAGCATGTACCATCTTCAATTTAAGATTGTGAACTAACGTAGCGGCTATCTTACGTAACAAAGGATTATCATAGGATCATCATCAACAACTCATTTGTACGTCCCACTGCTGGGTGTCTTCTCTGGGGAGGGTTTAGGCCATAGTCGGCTATTACGGTTAGGTACTTCACACGTTGTGAACCTTCTTCGACGTGCAGGTTTCATCACGACATTTTCCTTCACCGAACAGCTCAAGGCAAATTTCAAATTAAATTTCGCACATAAACTCCGAGAAATTCAGAGGTGCGAGCCCAAATTCGAACCTACTGCATCTGCTTGAAAGGCAGTAGGTCTATTCATTAGGCTACCATGACTTACAATGTAACTCGTCAGTAATAATTTTCTATAAACACGTTGCAATAAATAGGAGAAGTAGCGTGCATATTTTAGTCTTATATTTATATAATTTTTTGTTCACATCAAACGTTTCATGATTGTACTGGCGTCGATGCCGAGAATGGCGCGTAAGAAAATGTATAAATAAATAAAGCGACACGCGGTGCAAGGTGCATGGATCGCGGCATGCGCAGGCTGCTTGCAGTATCCACTTGCGACGCGCGGGACAGACCCGCTTGTAGAACGATATCATTATTAGTATATTCTGTGATATAAAACGCTTTTCAAATAAAAAATAAAAACTTTTAAAAATAGAATTCAACATGCCACAAATTTAAAATAGTTTCGTTTTATACACTTTAAAACTTTCTACTTTCAGTGTGCGTATATCCCGTTTGCAATGTTAGTTTCGTCTTCATTGTCATTTAAAAGCGAAATGGATTTCTTAAATATTTTAACTTAACTATAGCATAACTTTTTATTATTTCGATTCACCAAATAAAATAACTGATTCATCTTTAGTATAAATATATTTTGCAAAGATGAAATGACGATGTGATGAATGACAATAAATTAGGTATTGCAATACAATAAGAAGACTTGAACCCTCCCTGATCGCATTCTTGCGGGTGTGCGCGGGCGCCACCGCGGGCGCGGGGCCACATTTTGCGACGAATGCATCTTTAACTCTATGCTGACGATAGGTTAGTGTCAACTTACTGACAGTATATAGAAACTTGGAATGGAAACAAGGCCACGTTTAATTTTGTTTCAAATCATTTTGAGCGTTGTTCACTTTTAAATGACAAGCGTCAAAGCTTTCATTACTGGAACAATAGGGCTATAGTTTTTGTGTAATATCGACATATTTGGGATGTAAAAAAATAATTAGTTATAGTAAGGCGACGTATTTAGGTGGACCAACACTATTAAGTAGAAGTCTATACAGATAGAATATAATTAAGTGAGATAAATAAGTAAGTACTTATAGACAAATGTAAAACAAAATTTACCGCCTGGTTTAGAGTCTCGTAAGAATGGGAACATAGGTTTCCTATAAACAAATAATGCGTACAAATTAATTGTAAATAAGGTTTAGATTTGCTAACGTAGGAGTACTACATAATTATTGCTATTCAGTGCTTTGAGTGCATGCGTGTGTCACTTGGGCAGGAGCGTGCTGCAAGTTAGTAGCAGACGACGGGCACTTGTTTTGCACAGAACTATTTGCTGCCGGCCAAACTGCTCGCCAACAACGGGCACTGGCACACAAAACGTATCTTGCATTACTATGAATTTATTGCATTGCACTTTATCGAACATAATTACATTTTCTTAAAACAATCCTTACCCTACAATAGGCATATATCTACTAAAAAAAGTTGTGATATAAAAGTGAAGTCTGCAAGTGCACACATAACCCGGGCACAAAAATACAAAAGTTATTTATTTAGCACAGTCTCGCTCACTTGCATCAATCGAATTTGCTTAGTCACGCCGATAAGCAAATTTATTTTTCAAGCCGCAATAAAAGTACAACCGCTCTCCGAGTCACAGTTTGCATTTAAGTGACTGAAATACAGGGATATTTTCATAGTGGAAAACGCTGATAATAGGGTAGACAGTTTAAAATTGGCGCCGCGAATTAGTTTCCTCGGCATCGTTGACGGAGTAAACGTCATCGTACGGTATCGATCGTGACGCGCCACATTGCTGCTGAGATAGCCGTGTCTCGGCGCCGTTTGCGAACTGCACGCGGAATGAAAAGCGGGGCTTTGAATGTTCTTTTGTCAGAAGGTGATTTGTAAAGGGTTCGTTACACGGTAAGGGCGTAGTTGCCCGACAGGCAAGTGGCGCACTCTCGTGAGAGATGAACGAACAGATAAATCTACCAAGAATATATTATCACGACCTGAATTATTGAACTGTTTACATTTCTTCTTTTATGAACAAGCGAGGCGACATTTGGCTTCAGCGCAGCAACGTATCGTATTCGCAGCGCGATACCGCTAGCCGCGATTGGTGAGTGGTAGGAGGTACAGGGTCGCAGAGCTAGAGCGGCCTCGCGGCCCTCTTTGCGCCACAACGCAAATCGTTGAAATCAAAACTTTCACGCTACGAGAGCGCTACGAAGTTTTACGGCTACGAACTTCCTGCTACGCGGCCGTAGCGCGCCGCACTCAAAACTTTGTTCCGAAAGCTTTTTTATTTGTCACTTTCTGTTATCAGCCGAGTGGAAACTTTGGTTCTTTGTGTATCAGCCTTAGCGTTCATATTTCAATAAAGACGCTCTTATCGTGCGTTCGCCAAGTTTTCAAACAACAAGTCTCGCGCAATGATACCGATGATTTCTTGGGGAATCATTTTTACTTATTTCATGTTTGCTTGGAACTTAGTTACTTAGCCCTTTAACTATTCTCAAACATAATTCGTGCATATGTACGTAAGTACACACTTGTTTAAAATTTTTAATCTCGAAACCAGGCGGGATAATTTTGTATCCAAATTCCAAAATAAGTACTTTTCTTGACCATTAAATTAATCATGACATAAAATTAACATTTTCCTAACTATTCAGTAGGTCACCTATAGTTACTGTAACCTGGAGTTAGGGAAAATAATTCAGAATGTTGAGTTGGGTGGTCTTTAGTAGTATAGAAAAGTTCCAGGATATTTCCATGGTAGGTGGTGGTTTGAGCATTGTGTGAGGCTGGCGGGGCCTGGCGCGCTGGTGGGTTGGCAGGCGGCAGGCAGGCAGCGAGGTTGGGTTTTGTTGTTCGTGGAAGCGAGTCGCAGGTGGGCGCCGAGCGGCGGGCACCACCGAACCGGACCCGAGCAGCGCCGAGTGCGAAGCCCCGCGCCAAACAGCGTAAGCGGCAGCCCGCGGAGCCGCCGCGCGCCTCAGTCTGCGCTCGGCCCCCACGCTGCCCGTTCGTGAGTGACGCCGTGCTGTGACGCTTCTGACAGTTGTTATCGTAATCGTGACATGTTTTCGTATCGGAACTATGGTGTATCCCCATGAAAATGTGGAGTGATTTCCAGGTAAGCACATTCCATTGTCGATATGCTTTAACCCCTGGCTGATAATAGTGCTAGTTTTGGTAACAATTTCGAATTCATCTTGTGTTCTTTAACTTCAAGTAGTGTACGAATATTTTTTGTAACCTGAACGAATTTACTGAACAATTTGTACATCAGGGAACTCGAAACCAAGTCAACTGTCGTGCTATTTCGACAAATTTCCAATATTTTTATATTTGAGAAGTTTTAAGTGATTTCGTAACTTTAACAAATTTCGATTCAAGAGGGTCTTAGGTCATGTTAATGTTATGGTCTTTTAGTTTTAAATATTTTTATTGGTTTGTTTATTGTTTCAATCATAAATATTACAAACATTATAGATTTTTATTGTATTTGTGAGGGTAATTTTTCCAGTCAGTATTCTTGCATACCTTCCACCATTATTATTTTCTTTTGTTTCTTGTTAGTCTAGTATTATGATTCTTGTGTACAATGCATTTATTCTTTACTGTAAGGTTTTTTGGAACATATGACTGGTTGCAAGAACTAGGTTTTCCACTTGATCATAATTATGATCTATATAAGAAATCTTTGCTACATTTTCAACATTCCCAAAAGTATTTTCCGTCTTTGCTTATTTTACTCCTACTGTGTTCTTTTTTAATTCAGACGTTCTTACTTGGTAATTAAGCAAGAGTAGGTAAATATAGAAGTAATTGCGTAATATAGTCTTAGAGAACCAATTTTCAAAAGTTATGTGATCTGCGCGCCTTTTTTCGAATCTGACAGGTCGGCGCGTTTCCGGCGAGCTGTCAAACGCCATGTGATAGATAGAAGGGCGCAATCGGCTGGTTTTAAATCAAAGAGCACGGTATTCGACTCGATAACTGCGACGCTCGAGGCGAGCGAGAACGCGGAGAACTCGTCAGAAATACGTGGTTGCATCGGTCCTACTCGCACGCGTGACGCTGTCCCGCTCCAGCGACGGGTGTTTTTGTGTTGGAGCGGGTTTTTTGTGTGGCGCGAGGCTGAGTGCGGCGCCGCTCGCTCGCCTCGGCTGTGCGCACCCACATTAATTATAACGCCGACTTGACTCGCCAGCTCGAACGCACTTTACTTTCTATATTTCTGCGATATTACGCTTAGAATTCAGCGTTGTTTTCATTTTTATCTAGCAAACGTAAACATCATTAGAGAGTATAATGATGTGATGACGTTAGATAATACAATGCGAGACGAGGTACGCGATACGGGCCCCGTGCGGCGCGGTGGCGGGCGAGGGGCGCGTTGCCATGGCGACGGCTGGGACGCCCCGCCCAGACCCTACGCCTCCTCCACTCCACTTATTGAGAATTACTTCTCTACTCAGATGCCCAATTGTGACTCCACTCTGAGCAATTGCGCTTTGGCGTATGAACAAAAGAAACAAACTATTTTATCGATTCAAAAATACCAAGGCACCATGCCGCTAACAATCTCTATATGTACTTAGGTACATATTAACGAAATTTCCCAAAAATGTTTCTTTTTTAAGTCAAATATATCAAATTAAAAAATCGCCTTATATTAGTAAACAATACGATAGACGTGTTGCTCATTTTACCTGTACTTATGCCTTCTCAGTCACCCACCCTTTAACATAATCCGCTTAATTCAATACATTAATCCAAATTACATGAACAACCGACTAAAAAATCTGAGTCTGGCAAAAATATTACTTTGAGGAAAATAAACTGCTATCAAGTTATCACTCGCACACGTTATATCTGCCGATAAGTTTATCAACTTAATAGATAAGCAATTAAAAGCGTATAACTATTTAAAAAGCAAAATTGCACAATAAAATAAATAAAAAGTGCTACACGGCGTTGCCCTTCTACGAAAGTGCTAACCTACGACGGTAAGAGAGCACCTACGAGCAAAAACCATCAGTGTTGTCCCGCTGACAAACTGAAAAGTAACTTTATTGGAACAGTCACTGCATTAATGAGTATACACACAACGAAGTTGAAATTAAATGTTCTGAATAAATATAAATTGAAATCACAAAACAGTGTGTTAACTCATATTTGTTCGTGTTTAACAGGTAAAAGCTGTAAAATTTGAACTAACTTTTCTGGGGAGTTTTCGATTCTAATTTCGATTATATAAATATTAATCCACGTGACTACAAAATATCAACTCATATATCAATTGCGAATTTGCCGAAAGAACTTCCATATAACATTTAAGAAATATTAGATTGCGTATCATTTAGTACTTTGAACATTAAACTATATTTTCTCCGCATTCTAATCATGCGCTCAAAATGAGCTCGTGGTTCATTGTACTGCCACCAAAACTAATTGAATTGTGCACGTGGTCATTGCTTCAGTTAACAATCACTACGAAATAATAATATGCATATACATACTATCACGCTACGAAAGCGAAGGCTATGGAAATCCACTTGTTTCTACGTTACTGACAAACGTTCGCTCACCCACTGAATCTGTCTTTTCCTGGCCACGAGCTTATTTTTTATATGTTAGAATTAACTTGTCTATACCAGTAGCAGTACCACTCAGGGCCCATCATCCTGAGACAATAAGCTGTCAAGTCCCATGTGTCCGTAATTTCACCAGCTCCCTACCCTTCAAAACCGGAACACAGTAATGCTCACATTACTATACTTACACTTAAGGTGGCAGTCCCTGGATTAACGCTTTCACAATGACCTCCACTGCTACGAAAATTTATTATTTAAAATCATATATTTTATTATACCCAGACTATAAATTGCCAATGCCAAACGGTCATTTGGTGCAACTATGACGTACCTAATTGTAATTTTGACCAAATTGAAATAAGTATATTAACACACTTTTAAAAGTAAATGTTTACACATGTGCCTAAACAATTACTGGTAGGGTATTTTACACCTTGGTGTCCTGACTTTATGGTTGAGATAACTTTGAGATAAATATTGATGGATAGAAAGTTATAGGCAGGATTAATCATATTCGGCTTATCTTCTTGCTTAAGAAAACATGGATAAAGACTTTTTGATATGTTTTTATGTGAATATCATAGAAATCCTCAGTTTTGAAGCTGATTGTTCAAATTTTAACTGCAGTAAGACATTTCCATAACTGTGGATAGGGTTAGATCTTTTTTTAAATATAAGTAAACTTTTAAGCCCTAACACAGCATAGTTTTAGACTTAAAACCAGCTAAAGTTCACTGAAACTTCTTATGGCAGCATAATATAGGTTTATCATGCGTGAAGGCGGAGGAATGGGGTGTTTATAGGGGGTGTATTTAGGAATGCGACTTGTTGCAGTCATATGCCCACCCTACACAATGCACCGTATATTTTAAGCGTTCTAGAAAGTAAGGAAAGTAAAAAACGTATCGTTTCGCAAATTTTGTTCACAGACCTATTTTCTACATTTCTAAGTTCGTTTGAAGGAAAAGTGGCAAAACATATGTCATAATTTAAAGATTTTATTTGCATAATAAGGACAGGCTAACAACTTGTTCGCATTCAATTGTATTGAAGTATATGTTTCTTCAGTTATTACAAGCAGGTTTCGTTTATATTAGAATGTGTTTAAATAATTTTCCAAATATTTGATTTTATTCAGTGATTTTGAGAGGACAATGAATACTGACGAAGCCTTTTGTACAATAGATACAGGACCTAGTATTGGAATTAAATGAAAAACAGGAATCGGTTTATCGTTCTTTGACCCGGTAACATTAGGTTAGTACTTTATAATAAATCGCTTTTGGTGCGCTTACAAAAATATTGCGGTAGGTTACATATTAACGCACAATTAAAACTGTATCAATAAACCACCTTTTAACGCAACCTTGACCTCATTAAAGTAAAGTAAACATCATAAGTCTCAAGTGTAACAACCGGCTCGCACCGAGAGCGGGAAATCCTCTTGTCATAAAAAATAAATACGCTTTTCAAGTGTGAATCACCGTGCACCGCGCGGGGGACGGGGTGTGTGCGTGCTCCTTAAGCACATCTCGTAACAACATTTTTATAGCAGCCGGCAGTTAACACGCCGTCGTAAACAATCGACCACGTGCGCCAAAAGCAATAGTAAACACATAAACAAATGAATGAATTAGCCATAGCCGCCGCTCGACGTCACCACACGCCAGAGACACGCATAATAATCGCTTATGCAAACGACTCTAATTATGTAAAGCATTATAGACTTCTGTGTGTTTTGACATACACGTTAACGACCAATTATATGCCCATTGTACGACTCAATGAACTTGACAGACTACAATAATATAGGGCATCGACACTCGAATGAATGGACCACCTGTTTAGAAAAAATACGAGCCTTAGCCAATGTCAGGTGTGCCAAATTCAATACGGTTGATTATATTTTTATTACCGTATTGAGTTACCGCTACTTTGTTTTCTTTTTTGTTACATTTTTATTGTTGTTTTACTGCTTCTTATTTCGGAGCTGTTACGTATTTAACTCTCTGTTTTAACATTGAACAGTTAATCAGTATTGAAGTAGTTTGTTACTAATACCAGTGGTTCTAAAATCTCATCACGTACTAATATAGATTTAATGCTACATTAGTTAATTATCTAGAACCGCTGTTATGAAAACATTAAACCCTCACTGGGACAATTTAGCCGTTGCGACCGTAATATAAATGTAAAGTTGGTTGAACGGCCAGTAAAGTAGGAAATTGAAACTTTCGTCTTTAATTAAGTAGCAGTAGAGCACCTTGTGAAAAGTTCTTCGTTTCGCTTGCAAAAAGAAAAGTACTGCCATTTTACCTTTTTCTGCCGCCAAGCAGTAATATAAGCATTACTGCGTTCAGGTTTTGAAGGGTAAGGGTGCTGGTGAAATTACAGGCATACTAACTGCCTCCGTGGCCGAACGGTCACCATGCCGGACTGCCACGCAGAGGTCTCAGTTCGACTCCCGGGCGGGGAGAAATATTTGTATGGCCTACATTTATTTCTCTCGTGAGTTTGGGTGTAATTTGTGGTG